GGCAGCCTAGCCCCCTGTGGGGCAGCTCTCTTGAGGCTTACATCAAACTTACCGCTGCAAGGGAACAAGGTCTCAAAACCGGTGGAACCCAGGGACGCCAGGAAGAAGGGACAGGGATTCTTGGGCCAAAAGGGTCTGGAAGGGAAGGGATGCTACCAGCAAAGGTAGGAAGAAGGAAGAGCAGACTGGGGGTGGGGAGCAGTCAAACAAGCCTGCTCTGGTAAGCTGCCAGTGCTCACTAGCGGAAAAACTGTCTTACAGGTTTGTCTTTTAGGTTCGACCCGCACTTTGCTTCTGTTCCTATCCAGTCTCGTGACTAATAGTCTCTCTTTATTCGATCTACAGCATTTGCCATCTTTTGACTTCTTTGCTAAGAACTCTTTCCCCAGAGGACTAAAGCAGACAGAGCCCCCAGCTTGACTGGGAGGAGACATGGTTGGTTTTTCCTATTTTTGCTGGAAAACACAGGACGAAAGAGCACACATTTCCCACCTTTTAGAGTGACCTTGGCATCTCCAGCAGAGCCTCGCTAATTGACAGGATAAACCCTCTCCCAGTGCAATGGGGATGAATGTGATTTGGAGACTGTCGAAGAAGGGTGCTAAGACCCCTGGTGGAGTCAGGGCCCAGAAGCCAGCAGGATTGAGCAGGGAGAGGGAGCCAGGAGAACCATTGCAGCTTTAGAGTTAGAAGATATGGGTTCAAATCCTACTTCTCCGCATTCCTGCTTATATGACTTCAGGCACGGCTCCAGAGATCAAGATGATTCTGTGATGCATGGAGAGCTGGCTAGGAGGACCTGGATTCAGGTTCCGCCCGGGACATAAACTGGCTGGGTGCCCCTGGACAAGTCAGTGCAGTCTGTACAGAGACACGGATGGGCATGGGTAGAAGGTACTTCTATGACAGTGAAATGACCATTCTACACCCAAAACAACAGCAGAGCTCTGTATACGGTGTTTTCAAGTTTCCGTATCACTTCGTCATGGGATCAGAGACTTTCCACAGAATGGAAGAGGACCCGTGGGGCCATTTATCCCAATCCCCTCTTGTCTCAGAGGCCCAGAGACAGGCAGTGATCTGCCCAAAGTCACACGTCCAGGCTGTGGCAGCGCAGGGATGGCCCCGACACCAAGATGAAGGCGCTAGCACGTGAGCCCAGGTCTTCCAGTGCTCCTTCAGCCACTGGAGGGTACAGGGGTAGAGTCTGGCGTCAGGAAGACCTGCGCTCGACACTTCCTAGCTGTGTGACCCTGTGCAAGTCACTGCACCCATTTGCCTCAGTCACCTCAACTGTTAAATGGGGATGATAACAGTATCAAGTGCCTCACACACAATAGGTGCTTAATAAAAGCTTCTCCTTTTCCTCCCCTTCCAAAGGCTAATCAACCAATCAATGAGCATTTAATAAGCACCATTTAAATAAGCATTTAATATGTGCCAATATCCTGTAGATACAAAGTCAAGGGAAGGAAGAAGGCAGTAAGCGCATTATTAATTTAAGATCACAGAAAGCAAGTGACCTTAACAGGCCTTAGACTCTTTATAGGTGGAGAAACTGAGGCCTAGAAAGGCAAAGACTCCCCCAGGGTCACATAGTTAGTAAGTGGCTTAGCCAGGACTTGAATCCAGGACCTCGAACTCCAAATTCCCTTTCCCCTCTACTACATTGGGCCAGTTTCTGGCCCGGGAACTGGGATCCAAAACCAGTTACCTCCTGCCTTTTTGTCCACCCCCCCAGTTCCCCTCAAAGACCCTTGGGTGCCCAAAGCCTGGAGTCTGCCCTGGCCTATTGAGACCATAAGAATCCTTGGCTATGAAGGGTTTTTTTTTTTAACCCGTTTCAACCAGAGGCTTCCTGCCAGCCTGGAAAATCCCAATCAAAACAAAACAAAACAGAAAAATCTAATGAACAAGAAACCCCACCCAGTTTCTGCAGAACAGGCCGCTTTCCTTTCATGCCGGTTCCCAGAAATCAGCCGAGCTCTTCAGCTCAGGGCAGCGTCTGGGGGCCTTACAAAGGCCCGCTCTGCTTCCGGCCCCTCCTCACTCTCCCGCCCGGCCCCCCACGGGTGTCCATTCAGGATGCAAGGTGCTGCTTCTGCCAGCTCCAGCCGGAAGCTGAGCATTCTTGGAGAGCTGGTGCCTTTGCCCTGGTTACCGGGGCCTGGAGCTGGCGCCTTCTCCATTTTCCTAAGACGATGGAATATTTCTTTCTGCAGTCTGGAGCAGAAACAGCTCCCTCTGCCCCGCGTGACAAAGAGTCTTTTATAGAGAGAGCTGCTGAGGCTCGGGGTCTGTGAGCCTGGCCTGGGAATGAGCATCTGGGCCTCCATCCCTCCCTGTGAAGCTCCCTGACCTGGGACCATTCAGTAGCGCAGATAGCAAGTCATCCCCATAGGTGTGGAGAGCCCAGGCTCCAGATCCTGGCTCTGTACCCAGCCCAGCTGGGTGGTCTTGGACAAATCCCTCAGCTTCTTCCTTTATAAAATGGGAATAGTCCTACTTGCAGGATCTTCCTTGTGCTATGGTAAGAAAAGTGTGGGCAAAGCTTAAAGTGAAACCTGGGGGATAATGGGGAGGCAGGGTGTGAAGCAACCCCTCGGAGGGAGGATTTGAACCCAGATCCCCTGAAACCTAAGGGCAAAGCTCTCTTCTACAGTACTGTGGTTGGAAAGATAATTATTACTTGATGTCAGAAGGAAGGAAGCATTTATTAGTCACCTACTATGTGCTGGGCTCAGCACTTTACAAATACTATCTCATTTGCTTCTCACCTGGGAGGCAGGTGCTATTATTATGCCCACTTTACAGATAAGGAAACTGAGGCCATCAGGGGTTAAGTGACTTGCTGAGGGTCAAGCAGCTAGGAAGTGTTTGAGACTGGATTTGAATTCAGATCACTTCATCCTGTCTGCCTCAGTCACAGTGGAGAAAACACAGGGTCTGGAGTCAAGAAGACCTGAGTTCAAATCCGACCTCAGACACTTACTAGCCGTTTGACCCTGGACAAGTCATTTAACCCTGTTTGTCCCAGTTTCCTCATTTGTAAAATGAGCTAGAGGAGGAAAAGACAAACCACCCCAGAAAACCCCAAATGGGATCGTGAAGAGTCAGACACCATTGAAAACAACTGAACACCACCACCATCACTACTTCCTGACCCGTCCCCTCGCTGTATTCACTGCACCACCCAGATGTCTCTCACAGAACAAAGGAACGGTATACAGCCAGGTGTTCTGGTACATAAAACTCCATCATGCAGCGTAACCAAAGAGAGAGAGGCAGGGCCCAGCCCTAAGGAGTAAGAATAAGTAACCCATTCCAACAGAGCTTTGGATTGCCAGGCCTTTAAGAATCCAGATTATAGACTTAATAATTTACCAAGGGCACCTAGATGGAACACCCAGATTTCTCTTCCTGTGATGCCCCATCCCCCCTTCAAAGGAGCACCTAAACAATTAAACCTTGCCCACTTCTCCAATGTCACTGAAAATTACACATATTCCATGATCCTTGGAAATAGCACGTCAGCTCCCATTACTGAAATTGTCCATTGAAGAGAATTATTTTAATAGGTACATGGATATAATCAGGTTTTCAGTAGCTACAAATTGGGATCCATTATCCCTGCTCTTTTCGAGTTTTCAGAAACAGACCAAGCCTGTCTCCATGAGACCCTCCTGGGGTGACCCAGTGAATTCTATTAAGGCAGACAGACAGTCTAGCTAGAGGAGTGCATTAAGAAAATGCCCAACTTCTGATCTGAGTTTTCTTCGGTGCCAGTCTCTGTCGGCTGCCTCAATTCTTCCCTTCCTGCTGCTGGCATAGACTCGGGGGATGAAGCAAAAGACCAAATTTTTCAAGAAGTGCCTGGCCTCAAGATCTTAGCAATGTCTTTTGTTTCCCCCTTAAAATTAAAGTGTAATTTAGAGGCAAAACGTCAGCAACTTGGCAAAATATTCACATTTCACTGGGCACAGACAATGAATGTGCCCCATTTGGTTTCATTTTCTTGGTTCTCATGCATTTACAAAAGGCATCAGGGTTTACAGGCCTGCAAAGTCATGTAATTATTTCAGCCAGGGGTTGTTTCTCTCCATTTCTTCAGAAAAACTCCTCATTGAATGACACAATGACATAAGCCATTCTGGATTCCTCCTCCAGAAGACTGGCCCGGGGGTCATTTCTGCCACCTCACAGGAGGCACACAGACCCGAGATGGAGTTTTCAGTGTGTTCCGGATCATCCCAAATTCCTAATGCCCCCAGCAAAAGCCCTGTGAAGCATCAGTAGACACCCCAGCAGATGCCAGCTGTAATTCAGTGAGGGCCAAGTAAGGAGGTACTTCCCCAGCAAAGTGTTCCAAACAAGCATTGTCCTCAGAGAGTATCACAGAACCATAACCAAGATGGGGCAACCAGGGCTTTGGCACCAGGCACTGAGATTGAAGAGACACCAATACCATTTAGGCTCTTTTAGCAGCTAAAAACAACTGAGCTTAGCATCCAATTAATAAGAATAATTAGTGGAAAAGAGAAGTAACTGCATAGTATGTTTTCCTTTGGCCTCTATGGCAGTTGCTCTAAGGGTCCCTAGATCTCTGTCTTCAGCTGGTGTCCTGGGGTCTCACCCCTGAATGGAATTTGTCTTAAAAAGTTGATGGAGGTGGACATATTTAAGGCTTCTCGCCTCAGACAATACAATTAGGGTTGCAGTTCTATACTGTACTACAAAATGAACAATCCTTCTTGTCTTGTCTTTCCCCTTTTGGAGGGAGGTTGCTAATGGGTCAGCTCTGGCTTTCCCTTTGTTTTCTCTGGATATCAGAGCACTTTTAGCAGAAGAAAAGTGGTCCAGGAAGACCCACAGAAGGGACACACACACACACACACACACACACAGAGCTGGCTTCGTCCTACATAAATCCATTCCTGGACAGTAAGAAACCACACTTCCATTCATCACACCAGGGAATTCATGGGGCTTGGTCTGTTTACCAGATCCCAGTCTATGCTGCGGAAGAACGTGTGAGACTTGATATCTGAAAATCCCGTTTGTGGCTGGCAACCAAGCCTCTCTTTGGGATCCTAGAAGTCAAAATTTAAAAGGGGAGGGAAAAGTCAAGTCAGCATTTGCTCATGCAATTTACTGATGAGCCCTCCCTCCCTGAGTCAAATGAGCTGATGGTTCGCACTTTAACAGAGGAACTCAAAGAAAATCCAACCTCCGCTCACCCCTACACTTCCACACTCAAATGAGATCATATGGGGAAGCACATAGCAGAGTGCCTGGCACGTAGTAGGTGCTATATAAATCCTCTCCTTCCCTCTCTCCCACATCTTATTTTTTTCTATACTCAAGAAAGGAATCAAAAAAACATTATCACCAAAAATGGCTCCGTTCCTCAAGTCAGAAGCTATGGGAAAATTTGTCTCTTCTCTATATTTTAAATTGAATCTTGGTTTTGCTAAAGGACCAGTTTTCCTTTGGAGAGGGTGTTAAGTCATCATCTGACTCAATCCAGCCACCATAGTAATTGACTATTGGCAAAACTCATGTTCAGGTAGGTACATACAAAATAATTTCTGGGGTCTGGAACCATCCAGCCAACACAGCAATTAACTATTATTCAGGAGGCACTGGGGATAGGATTGGAAAGACAGACAAAATGCAAAATAGGTCCAACCTTCCAGGGGCCGACTTTTTGGGAGGGGAAGGGAAGAGAAGTAGAGGATATAAGCTGTAGACAAATACAGCATCATTTATGGAGAATGCCAGCATTGACAACTGCAGAGAGGACTCAGAGATGGGAAAACATGGCGAAGGACAGGCTTCCTGTAGGGGATGGCCCATGAGCAAAGTCATGAAGGATTTATAAGAGATGGAGCTGAGAATTGGAATGCTCGGATGGAAATAATGGGTGGAAAGGTGGGTTTGGGGCTTGGAAGGCCTGGAATGTCTGTCCTAGAGGCAGGAAGGTAATTCACTAAAACATTGTTCTAAAAAAATTACATATTAATTTTCTCCAATATGCCAGGGGGTGAGTGGATGGGGGGTATGGATATGCCTGGGGACCCTCATGTTTTCTGCGTTCTAGTTCTTCCCTGCTGTTAAATTACCAAGAGGAAAATACCAGATTAACCCCCATCCCCACCCTGCTCATGTGGCAAAAGAACTAGGAACACTTACCTTATTTAAAAATCCTTTTAAGACGTGGGAGGCTTTGACAGAGAGAAATCTGGGGATTCGAATAGGCTTCTCAAGGATAACTAGAGGAGATTGGAAAAAAAGTCTTGAGAATTGCTGCTCCACTTTTCTGTTTTACAAGAATATTCACAAATGAACCAAAAAGTAAAATTCTAGACCTGCCGTATGACTGTCTACCTTGTGTATCTTTATTCAATTGCACGTGAAGACATGGGAAAAAAAAGCTGCTTTAACCAAATCCAACAAACAGCTAAGAATCTACGTGGACTAGCGAAGACATGGGGGAAAAAAAAGCTGCTTTAACCAAATTCAACAAATGGCTGAGAATCTACGTGGACTAGTGGGTCCACGACCAGGGCTGCCGTGGCTCAGCATCTATTGCAGGAGGTCAAAGGCAGAAAGACCAGCCCTAGAACCTCAGTATATTCCAAAGCAGGACTTCTGGGGATTGTAAAGGACTGGAAGCCAAAAGATACCTAGGGACTGGGGACAGGCTAAACATGGAAGGAAATAGAAGGGCACCCTCTAAGAAACAAGAAAGCAGAGGGAAAATTTAGAGAAACCCAGGAGACTTAACGACCTGATGCAGAGTGAAATGAGCAGAGTGAGGAAAGTACTATACAGTGACTAAAACTGCATCGATAAAATGAAGTGGGGAAAAGACCGAACTACACAACTTGAAACAACACTGATGATAAAGCCCAGGCTTATCCCTGGAGGAAGACATGAGAAAACGCCCACCCCTCCTTTCACTGGAGAAATGGAGGACGTTGGCTGTCCAATACTCAATAGACGGTCAGAAATCTCTGTTGTGTTGGTTATGTGGAATCTTTTTTTTTTTTTTAGATTCTTTGTTTTAAGGGTTGACTCTGGGGAGAGAGAAGGGCTGTGTTTGGAAATGAAGGTGATATTTACCAAAAAATACCAACCCCAGCAGTATCTATTGAGTATAAAGCACCATTCTAAGTGAGGGCCAGGAGCATGAAGATAAACACATGCCTGCCCTTAAGAAGCTTCCATTCTACTATAATTAATTCCTGTCCCCTTTCCCAGCGAACAAACATTTTTAAAGTGCCTACTATGTGTCAGGCTGTGCTCAAGGTACTGGGTATGCAAAGATTAAAACAAACCAGAACAAGTACTCAAGAAACTCACCAGTGGAAAGAACATTGATTTTAGGGTCAAAGGACCTGGGTTCAAATTCTGTCTCTGATAGTTATAGCTCAGAGAAAGTGACATAACCCCCACAGCCTCAGTTTCCCCATCTGTAAATTGCTGAGGTTGGACTAGATGGTCTCTGATATTCCGTCCAGCCCGAGGGCTAGGAGCATGATGTTTCGCCCTCCTTGGGGTGGGGAAGGAGGGACAAAACACGTACACACATAAGTACATACAAAACACGTATACCCATAAGTACATACAAAATAATCTCTGAGGGTCTGGAACGAGTAACTGGGACAATCAGTAAAGGTCTTGTGCTGGAAGCGGAACCCAAGCTCGGGAGGGAAGAAGAGAGGGAACCCCAGGTGTGGGGGTCAGCTGGGGAAGAGGCAGGAGATGAAACAAGAAATGTTCTCCATGGAGGAGAGTGAAACGGGGCAGTCTGACCAGCAAGATGAGGCCAGGGAAGGCTCTAACACGGAAAAAGCTACTTTCTTCCCAGGAGAGCAGCCACCCAAACCAGCCTTGTATCTATTCATTTTGTACCTATTCCATAGAGCCGCTCGGTGGCGCTATAGGGCACTAGAGCCTGGGCCTGGAGTCAGGAAGACTCATCTCCCTGAGTTCAAATCTGGCCTCAGGGTCTTAGTAGCTGGGTGACCCTGGACAAGTCACTTCACCCTGTTTACCTCTGTTTCCTCATCTGTAAAATGAGCTGGAGAAAGAAATGGCAAACCACTCCAGCATCTTTGCTAAGAAAGCCTCAAATGGGGTCATGGAGAATTAGATAGGACTGAAACAACAAAATTAGAAAACTATATTCCAATGGGCAATTATGATGATAATAATAATAATAATAATAATAATAATAATAATGGGTAGCATTTACATACCACTTTCAGGTCTGCAAAGCACTTTACAAATCTTATCTCACTTAATCCTCCCAAGAACCCTGGGAGGGAGGTGCTATTGTTATCACGCCCATTTCACAGATGAGAAAAGAGGCAGAGAGAGCTTCAGTGACTTGCCCAGGGTCACACAGCCAGTAAGCGTCTGAGGGCAGGATTCAAACTCGGCTCCCAGTCCAGCCCTCTATCCCTTGAAGCACCAGCTGCCTCTATGAACATCACACAGAAATTTACAGAAGGATGGTTTTAATTTTTAAAAATACTCTCATTTTGTAATAATTTCTGCCTCCAGCCTGTGTGACCCCAAACAAATCCATTCTCCCCTCGGGGCCTTGTCTCTTCCTCTGTAAAGTGAGGGCCTTCAGGGTCCCTTCCAGAGCCCGAGGTCCTGCCGATGGAAGATGGCATTCCACCTGCGTGTCTGTCAAGGCCAGAAACGCGCTGGGGGCACCCACAGAGCAAACAGGACTGGCATCGCAGACTCTGGGTCACCGGTCCAAGACGGAAGGGCGCTCAGAGGCCATCCCGTACCACTCCCTCATTTTACAGATGAAGAGACAGAGGCATAGAGAGATGAAGACCTGGCCAGGGTCGCCTGATAGTAAAGAGCAGAGAGAAGCTTTTAACCTGAAGCTGATGCCCTTTCCCTAGACTCTTTGCAAGGTGTTTGTCTGGAGATGAGAGGAAGCGTGTTAGGTTGGCCAAACAGGCAGAATGAATCCATTCTGAGCTCAGGACCCTAGTTACAACGCTGGCATTGGGGCTGGACTGCTTCAAGTATCACTAAAAAAAAGTAAGGAGGCACACAGAAGAGAACACAGGACTGAGAGGAAGGGAGGCCCGGGTTCAAATCCTGTCTCTGACAGTGACTATGTGTGTGACCATGAAGAAGCCACGGCACATTCTGAGCCTCAGTTTTCTCATCTGTAAAATGAGGATAATAGTACCCAGAGGACCTACTTTATAGGGTGGCTAGGAGGCTGAAATGGACTCTCTGCACTGTAGAGATGGCAGCTGTTGTTATAGATTTGTAGTTTCAACAGAGTAGGGAAACCACAGCGAGAAAACTCCCTCCACCAGTGACAGGTGGCATATCCTGCCCAGGGTTACGTGGCTAGCGGGGAGGTGTCTGAGGGAGGGTCCTGACTCCAAGTCTGGGAGCTCAGCCACTAAGCCATCTTCTCTGCCTTGGAATGTAAGTGTCTGGAGGGCAAGACATTACTGTCATCACCATCATCATCATCCTTCTTCATTCATTCATTCATTATTAGCTCTTTGAGGGCAGGGGCTATTATTATTAGCACAATTCATTCTTATCATTCATTCATTTATTATCAACCCAAGGAATGAGGTTATTATCATCATTCATCTCTTTATTATTAGTTTCTGGAGGGCAGGGGTTATTATTATTGTTATTAAATCATCATCAATAATAATGAAAGCTAGCATTTGTAGGATGTTTTAAGGTTTGCAGAACACATTACACATTGACTCATTTGAACCCCATAACTATCCCCCAGCCCCCAGGAAGTAGCTGCTATTATTATGTCCATTTTATAGATGAGGAACCCAAGGAAAGACAAGTTACATGACTTCTCCTTGGTCACACAGTGAGTAATTATTTTTAGTAGGATTTGAACTCAGGTCTTCCTGACTCTCTCCAGAGCAGCACCTGGCTGCCTGTCTGTAAGCTGAGGGCTTCCCTGGGGCAGTGGCTGGGCCACAGGAGCTTAAGGACACCGGCTGACTGACTGACTTGCACCAATGTAGGACAGCACCTGGTTGGCATCTTATAGTTTTGGCTGGAGCACAGAGGTAAAGTGACTTATATAGGGTCACTCAGAATGATGGAAGGTATAAGAAGTCAGGAAGAGCAAGAGGGCAGGGTAGAAAGGGCTTTGAATGCCAATTAGGGGATTTTATATTGCATTCTGGAAGTAATAGGGAGCCATTGAAGTTTATTGAGCTGGGGCGTGACATGGTTAGGCCTGGCCTTGATGAAAATCACTATGGCGGCTGAATGGAGACTAGGTGGGAGTGGGGAGAGACCTGAGGCAGGCAGACCCCCAAACAGCTATTGCAGTAGTCCAATGATGACGTGATGAGGGCCTGGAGAAGTGTCAGAGGAGAAGGAGGAGTATTCAAGAGATGTTGTGGAGATAAAATTGATAGGAATTAGCAACAGACTGAATATGGAGGATGAGAAAAATACAGTATCTGAAACTCATAGTGCTTGGGAGAAAGCTCTGTTCCTAAGCTCGACCGAACCTCCTGGGGCGCCATCCTCCCCCTCCTTAGTGCAAGGCACGCATGCACATATGTACCTTGGAAGAGGTAATCTTCAGTGTTCATGTCCGGATTGTCTGTGATTATATCAAATGGCGATCTTCCCGCCATCATCTCAAACATCAGGACACCGAGGGCCCACCAGTCCACACTGAACCCTGGGGAGAGTGCGAGAACGGATCAACCAACCAATTAACAAGTATGTGTGAAGTGCCTGCTACACGGTGGGGGGGGGGGGGGGGGGGGGGGGGGCGGGGGGGGGGGGGGGG